ACACAGTTTGGCTTTGTTTTTCTTTGTTTGATTTCCTTTCCTCAAAATCTAAAGGGTGTAACACTCTTAACACCTTCTGGGAGCCCTTGGGGTGCATCTTGGGTGAGTGCTTAGCTTATAACTATACACCCCTGACTAAGCAAGACACGGTTTCCTGGTACTCTTTAAAATAAAAATGACATAAGATGAGTGCTGGAGACAACCTCAAAAAAGGTTAATTCAAACTCACCAAGATAAATCATCCCTGGAACTCTCGAAAGCAGTTTGGTGAAGATACTTGCAGCCATTTCACAGTCTTGTCAGGAATTTCTCCTGCAGCCTTTAACATCACTGAGCTCAAGTAACAACTTACGGCTTCTGATTTTTATTCTTACTAAAATTTTCAAAAGTTGGCTCAGGAAACAAAGATTTTGTTTTCTATCAAGATAACTATATGCGTTTTCTGCTATTTTTATTAGTATTTTGATTACTTAGAAAAAAGGAATCTTAAAAAAATTAAGGTTTTTGTTTAAACATCAGTTTTAAAATTTGTTGAGTGGTCATTTTATAACTGGTTAAATGGGTATAATGGGTTAAGTAAAAATTATTATTTAAATATGGTGATATGTAATATAGGGTACCTATATATTCTGTATGTTTATAAAATCTTTAAAAATCTGATGGTTAAACATGATTGTTATCTTAAAATGCCACATGCAACTAAACAGTTGCTAAACTCTCAATATTCCAGGTGTGGCTGTGCTAAGTCTTAATCACTCACAGTTTTATTCTTCTCTGAAGCGTTTGTAGTCAGATTTTTTATGGTAAAGGTGCTGGCAAGTACTGCAGACAAACTGAGATTCCTTTGATTATCTTTGGTAAAAATTGATATGACTGAAAATTATTGCAAACTGAATTTATTTTGCTCTTGTACTTTACTTTCAAAAATTTATAGCTGTTGCCTTGCAAAATTCTGTAAAAGTGATTCTTCTGGGAAAATGAACTCATGAAAGGTTTTACAATGCTTGCCGTCATGTACAAAACAGGTAAGATTAAACTCTACTGGGTACCAACATGCCTGTAATACCCATATGTGGGAGACCAGTGCAAGAGGATTCTGTGAATTTCAAGGTCATCCTGAGCTACATAGTAGATTCAAGACCAGCATGAACTATATGGCAAGACTTTGTTTCAACAAGCCAGCAAGCAAGCGAGAAACAGCTGCAGGTAGGCTCAGCCTAAGGACCTCTCCTTCTAAGCTTCTTAGTTGCTCAAATGTGGCTCATGTAGTTATGACACAGACTGCTAGCTGTTAATAATTTCCTCTCCGGCGAGGAGCCAAACAAGACCAACTACTGAGAGAGTATCCTGGCAGGAAGGGCAATGAAAGTCTACCCTCAGGATGACTGATCACCAGTGTCTTCAGAGGAACTCCCAGGGAGACAAGAAAAAAAGTTATCAAATCCAAGATGGAGTCAATGGTGTTATAAACGAAAGATTTCTTATGTATGAGAGCCTGATAATAACCATTACAAAGGCTCTGCCAGATTCATGTTTGTTTTGAGTTAATTTGAATCTTATCTAACAGACCTGACATTAAAAATCCAGATTGTAAAGTGTTCACTGGACAAAGCTGTTTTGCTGTTTTTTTTTTGAACAATGATCACAAAAGACAAGGGACACAATTAGCAGCACACATCAAGTAATCAAAGTTGGGATCTTCACTAAGCCTTCTGCTTTCAGTTGCATTGGTACATATCCATTCAACCTACTTTTTTTTTCTACTTTTAAAAAATATATCTTAATTTTATATTTTTATTAGTATATATTTGCTAAATATGTGTTCTAGACACTTAACAATTTCAAGAAAAGCCAATGGATTACCTAGGAATTCCAACTACCCCAAGCCAAGAGCCTATGCCACTATTACTGTCTCTTTCAGCCTAGACAGTGAGAGATTTTTATAACTCTCAGGGGGGTTGGTGTTATGGTTTGTGTCTAGATGTCCTCCCAAAGCCTCATGCAGTCATAGGGCAGCTTTTAGGGTTTATGACTAATTCATGATCCAATGCTGGGATTATGGGTCTGAGTGCTACACTCACTCTGGGGCGGCTGGCCTGCATGCAATAAAAGGGAGGGGAAGAGGCTTGCTCCCTGCTCCCTGCCACTGCTGTTCCCTTTTGTCCTTGCTGCTTTTGCTGTTTTCTCCTGTCATGAACTGCTGCCCTCTGCCGTGTGCCACCCTGCTTTGGAGCAAGCGTACTATGGACTGAAACCTCCACAAACTGTGAACTAAGTAAACCTTTCCTTCCTTAATTTTGGGTGTCAGGTATTTTTTCCAGCAATGAGAGAAAAGTAACCAGATAGGAAGAGATGATGTACATAAGTCAGCTTTAAGAAGCTATAGAAGGGGCCGGGGAGATGGCTCAGTGGAATAAGCACTTCCCTGGCAAGCATAAGGGCCTGAGTTCAATCCCTGGTTCCGCAATAAAGAAAAAAAAAAAAAAAAAAGAAAGAAAGAAAGAAAGAAAGGCTAAGATAACATAAATCCTTGGGCACAGTAAACTTTTACCCCTGGTAACATGGCAGATTGTGTCTCTACCTTTGCATTCTTTGTGACAGACTCATTATAAGACGGATGAAACCACCATGCACAATTTTTACACAAAATGAAGGGATTATACTGGAAGTGGTGGTGCACACCTGTAATCCCAGCAGTTGGGAGGCTGAGGCAGGAGGATTGCCATGATTTTGAGGCTACTGGGCTACTTAGTGAGTTCAAGGCCAGCCTGAACTACATATTGAAACCCTGTCTTAAAACAAACACAAAAAAGAAAAAAAAAAAGGAAAGAATTATTAAACACTCCCACTTCACTTGCCCTTTATTGATTTAAGGATCATTACTTTTGGAGTCCACGTCGCTGGGTAATACATTATTAGCTTCCCACTACCCTTTTGCAGGTAACTTCTCTGATGCCAGGGTTATGTTGTCAGTTGCCTAGGTTACTTCTCAGGGACCTGAGGTCTGCTTTTGCTAAAAGCCCCGACTTCACTTAAGCCTACAGATGTCCAATGGGTGACTAGAATAGGTAAATGGTTTGGTACCTCTGTCTTTCTATTGTGTCTGTCCCCTTTGCTGCCTTAACTTTTGTTTCAGATTCTAATCAGCTCTGCTCATGGACATGTTGGTTATTTAAAAATGTTTTGTCCAAGACATGCAGGGCTAGGCTGGCCTATTGTGCCTTTGAGATGGGGTGTGTCTTCTTTTCTCTGCCCTAACTCGTGTTTTTTTCCAACTCCTATCATAAGGCTCAGACCCACAAGGCTGAGATATTTTATGCAAGACAATGATGTTAGTGATGTAGAAATTCAACAGTTTCTAGGAAAATTTGGCTGTAATAATTTGGAGGCTGTTAAGAAGAAATGTGTTTTGACAACTGTCTCAGGTCAATGAAGACTTACTGGACTTCTAGTCCACTTCATCAAATCAATAAAAACTTGCTATTGTTTCTGTTTTGTGAGCAGCTTAGTCCCTTCCTTAATTGATGCTGATGTTCTTTAGTTGAAAGAATGCTCAGTTGTATTTCTGCTACCCCATGAAAAGCCTTGCCTGTGTATATGCTTGTGATATCTGTATTGTTCTAATTTATCTACCATCTCTTATTCAAAAGATTCTATCTGGTATCATTAGGGGGCCTAGAGATTTTAGGAGAGAGAGAAAAGAGTATTCTCCAAAAATAAAGCAGAGATTGGTAGGAAATCTCCCAGGGGCTGGGAAAGACATGGGAAGAGGAGCAAGAGACCCAGCAAGGGAGGGAATGGAGTGTGAGGGAGTGGGCTGCAGCCCCCTGAGGGACATTCTAGGTTTGGGTCCTTGAGGATGGCGTTAAGGGATTCTCAAAGTCTTTTTCCTCAGAGCTCTTGAGAGAAAAGGCAAGGTTAAGCCAGGGAGGGGGTAGTGATGGTGTCTTTGTGTCAGAGTTGAGACTCTGAGATATGTGGGATAGGACATCTGAGAAAACAAGGGAATGGACTTCTCTTGCAAGCTACAGGGCTTGAGAAGATGGCCAGAGGCCTAAAGAGGGATGCATATGTGGGAGGAAGGCGCGGAAGGGGTGAGCGGCAGGGGTCTCATTTCTCCTTGGTGCTGGGCAGTGTTGGGAGGACAATATGGTGGGGCTGGGGCTCACACTGGTACCTGCAGCCACCTGAAGGTGACATTTGCACTTCTGATGGGTGCTGCCATGGTGTGTGTGTGTGTGTGTGTATGTGTGGTGTTGGTATATGAGGGTGGAAAGTGAAGGTGTGGCAGGAAAATCATGTGTGTGTATGTGAAGGGGCTAAAATCAGACAGTTGTGTGCAATGCACACACACATATATAACACATGCAGGCACGAGCACACACACACACACACACACACACACACACAAACACACACACACACTGCCTCCCAGCGGATCCTATGACTTCCTCTGCCTTCTTTCAGAATTAGTTGGAGGAACAAAGCCACAAAGCAGCCCAGGATGGTGGGTCTGTTTAGGAGGGGTGTTCTGAGTACGTGGGTGGCACTGCCTGGCAAGGGAAACATGGCTGTACTTGGGACAGCCCTCAGGTGTCCATGATGGAGACAGGCTAGAAGGATCCAGTCCTCGGGCTAAACTGATTGGCTGCCTCTTTACCACCTGATGGACATGGGTTTGCTCCAGGAAAAGAAGACACCACAGCACAGATAGCAGGTTCTCTAGTTTATTGGGAAATGGGCAACTGGGCCAGAGAGTCATGGGAAGCAGCTGCCCCACCGCGCTCTGAAGGGGAATGCCCAGCAGCTGAGGAGGGGCAGCTCCGTCCTGGTAGCTGGTCCTTTTCAGCAAAGAAGTGGCTGGTGGGAAGGGCCGAGTGGTGTATTCTCAGAACACAAGGGAAAGCCACCAAAACACTGCTGAGCTCAGCTAGGGGCATAAGCAGCGGGCAGATTGGGCAGGTGGGAGGGGCTTCTCTGGCTCTCTCTTTTCTGGTCCTTTAAAACCTCCCCTGGCAGATGGAACCCCCTCCGCAGGGTGCACACAGGCCGGTGCTCACTGCCACGTTCCCAGTGCAGGGGGCACTGCAGACGCTACCCGTCACGGGCCTGGAGCCGGACACACAGAGGTCTCCACACACGACCCCACCGCGTGAGCTACTGACACCTGCAAGAACAAGAGCAAGGTCAGGAGCCCTGGCTTGTGGCATCCCAGCCAGCCAGCCAGCCTGCTGCTTGGGCCCCAGCTGACGTGTGCAGCCCTCCAGGATGGCACAGTGAGCCTTCAATTCTAGACCTGAGGCTGTGGAGGCATATAGCCTGGAGCAGGAGCCCTAGCCTGGTCCTGGCTCTGCTGTGTAGCTGGGGGCATATCCCTTCTTCTCCCTGGGTTCAGCCTTCCCTCTTATCCAAGGTGGGATCATACTGAGTGACATCTGAGGTCCCTTTCTGCAGTGGCATCTTTTTCTCCCCATCTCATTCATGCTGTGAGCTTCCTCCTATGAGCTAAGTCCAGTCTGTCCTGCTGCCTGACCAGCTGTGTCCCCTTACTGGGGCACTGTTGGGAACATTCCTCCCAGAGTCTCTGTATAGCTATAGGCAAGAAAGCCAGCTGCTGCTAAGCATATAAGTTCAGGATTTAAAATACTTACAGACATTAACAGCTCCAACGCCTTCACACAGCCTGAAAAGGTGGAGGGGAAGAGGAGAGAAATCAGAATGAGGACATCAAGTTTCTCATAGATGCCAAAGTGCCTCATCGGAGGGCTGTTTCTGATCTACATTCATGCCTCAGTGCAACTTGGGGAAATATGCCTTTCTGACAGCGAACAGAGCTTGGATTCTCACTCGCTTTTGTCTGGCTGCCTCTGCCCGGAGTACATCTTTAATACTCACAACTGGTGGTCCTTGACAGGCCAGTTTTGGGAAGTGAGAGTCCTTTTTGACAGGCAAGGCCAATGTTTGAACAGTAACTACCATAAGCAAGTGAGTGCCTGGATCCATAGTGTGGATCTTAGAAGACTTTGAGGATGTTCTGAATTCAGTGGCAGGGCACCTAGGTTCTAATTGCAAAAGGACCCTGGGCTCAGTGGGACTGTGGACATCATGGGGGCATCCATCCTGCATGAAAGAGGACTTTTCCCAGTTCTGGGCATGTGAGATGAGACCTGGTATCCAACAGACAGGATTCTAAGCTGGGGCCATTTGTAGGGAGAGACAGACAAGAGGGAGTTGAAAGTGGGCTAGTTTATGCATGGGAGTGCGTGGCATAGCTGGCCCACCTCTGCTCCTCGCCCTCCAGCAGGCGTCTGTAGGTGGCGATCTCAATGTCCAGGCCCAGCTTGGAGTTCATCACCTCCTGGTACTCCTTGAGCAGGCAGGCCATGTCCTGCTTGGCCTTCTGAAGGGCCTCCTCCAGCCCTGCCAGCTTGCACCGGGCATCATTGAGGGCCGCCTCACCCTGCTGCTCAGACTGGGTCACCGCAGTCTCCAGCTTGGTGTTCTGGGGCCCAGGAGAGAATGAGGAGGGTTATGCTCCCTGGGCTTCCAGGTTCCTTACTGCATGTGGCCAGTCCCAGCCACACAGCTGGAAACTACCCAGAGACAAGGCCTCGCCCTGAGTGACCCCAAGCAGGGACTTGAGTCATGCAAATGGGCTGAGTCATGCAAATGGTGGGGTTTAGATATGGCTGTGTGACCCTGGGTGGGCCCTACCTGGCACTTGGCATTCTCAATCTCAGCTGTCAGCCTCTGGATGATGCGGTTGAGCTCGTTGATCTCCTCCCTGGTGCGGCGCAGGGTCTCGCCATGCCGGATCACTGTGGCCTTGATCTCTTCACACTGGGGAAAGCAGAAAAGCTTGTGAGGCTCAGGATAACACATCCCATCCATGTGGGACACCACCAATGACTACAGGTTCTAAGTGCTCAGTCGGTGCCTCCACTCAGGGCAGCTCTGCTGTATTATTTGATCTCTGAGCAATCAGCTCTTCTCTCACCATCCCTAGAGGTCAGACTCTTCAGCAAAACAAGCCTTTCCTAGGAGACACATCACATCCCTCCCACCCCCTGTCTAGGCGACTGGTGTCCTCAGCCACTCACCCTGCTGCGGTACCAGGACTCGGCCTCCGCCCGGCTGCGGGTAGCAATGTCATCATACTGAGCCTTGATCTCAGCCACAATGCAGTCCATGTTCAGGTCGCGGCTGTTGTCCATCTTGACGACGACCGAGGTGTCTGAGATGTGGGACTGGAGAACGCGGATCTCCTGCAGGAGGAAGGGAAGAGGGAAGACACCTGAGTTATGTGGGCTCTCCCCCACACCACCACCAGTGCCTCTAATCCATCCACTGCTCTGTCATCCATCTCCCAGATTTGGAGCTCAGTTGATGAAATGACATAGCTTTCTATAATAAAGTCCCCAAGAACAACCACTCTTCAAGCCCTTGTTTCTAGAATTGTTTGGGTACATGTGGCCCAGACTGCTTTCCCTAGCCAGAATGTCCCAGGTGCCTTCTAGGGGACAGAGCAGGTGTTGGGGCCTGTGCACATACTCCTAGACCAGCAGTGGTGAACTTAAGATGTGGATGCTAATTTGTTTTTCTGTTAAGACAAAAGATGTCAATATGTGAGCTGTTTTTTTCTAAACCAAAACTTAAGTATTGGGGTTTAGTCGTAGTGTTGGCACTGGGTGATAAGTGGGTTTCAGGCTACAGATAGGGCTCTTATCTCTAAAAGATTTGCCATCACTGTTCTAGACCAACCACATCAAGCAAGGCTATTGGCTGCCAGAGAAAATCCTAGGCCTCAGGCAGGGCCAAGGTGGTCTTGTGCTGTGGAGCCCTCTGCTGCACTCCAGGCTTGGGGAGAACATGCAATGGCTTCCTGCACAGCTATCCCTGAGATCTCGCCTTTGGGCTCCCTGAACCGGTCTAGTTTGGGGTCTCCACGCCTCTCTCTTCTTCCGTCCCTCCTCTTGCTCTCCCCTTTCCTGAAGCCTGATCTCACAGGAGTCCTGGTTCTTCCTGTGGGGTTTGGGCAGTCAGGGATCCTGTCAGAGCCATGCATGTGCCCACCATAGCTGTGAGCCCCTCACCTCCTCATACAGTCGCCTCAAGAAGTCAATCTCCTGCAGCAGCGCCTCCGAGTTGGCTTCCAGGTCTGACTTGCGCAGGTAGGCGCAGTCCACGTCCTGTGTGGGATGGCAAGGGGCTGTGAGGCCAGCTCCCCAGAGTTCTGGGGACTCAGCTGCAGTGAGGCAGGCCAGAGGGGCAAGGCAGGGGGGTGCGAGGGGTGGGCTGGCTTTGGGCACTCACCTTCTTCAGAGCTACAAACTCATTCTCTGCTGTGGCCCGAAGCGCAACTTCTTCTTCATACCTGAGGTGGAGGAGAGAGCAGGCCCTGTCAGCACAGCCCTAGCTTGGCTGTGAAGCTTGGCCTGATTGCCAGGCCTGCCCCTGCTCCTCTGGCCTCCAAAGTTATGGATGGGTCCTGGGAAAGGTGGGGTGTGAGTGTCTTGGGGAAGTGGGACACCTTTTTCTGGGTGTCTTTTTCCAGTGGAGTTAGGAGGGCAGGATATGGAACTTGTGACTGTCAGAGAGAGGGTGGGAGGGGAAGTGGGGTGGAAGGAAGTGCCTGTTTGCTCCATAGTTCTCCATTCTCCTTTCCACTGAGTCTTCCCTCAGGCCCACCTTGCTGTTGGCAGTACAATTCCCCTGTCACTCCTCTGTTGGACTGAGCCAAGAGAAGTAATTGGATTTACTTCCTTACTTGGTAAATGATGATCTACATCTGTGACTATGTAATGTCTCCTCCCAGCAGGCTGTAATTCCTCAAGGACAGGGATTAAGTCTTCTGCTTGGCCCTGGTCTGCTAACTCCAGTGCCCAGGGAACAGTGGACTCAGAGGAACTAGAAAATACCAACTCTTCTGCGGGGTCTGGGAGACCAAGAATAGGAGAGAGCCCTGTGCTCTGAATGGGTACAGGAAGACAAAGTGCGCCTCCCTGAGGTCAGGGTTGCCAAGGGCCACTTGAGCCTGGAGGAAGTGTGAGGAATGCAAGGTCTTCTCCACTCCCAGAAAGGAACCAGCCCCTGGTCAGATACTGCTTGAGCTCAGGCAGCTTCCCTCAGTTGCCCCCGGGCGGCTCACTCACTTCTTCTTGTAGCCCTCCAGCACCTCCTGCACGTGGTTGAGCTCAGCGGCCAGCCTGCCACCGTCCGCCTCCACACACTCGGCCTCCCGCCTCAGAGTCTGGATGTAGCCCTCGAACAGCGGCTCCAGGTTGCTCTGGCAGCACTCGCGGTTCTGGTAGAACTGCAACTTGGTCTCCAGCAGCTTGTTCTGCTGCTCCAGGAAGCGCACCTGTCACCAAAAAGCATAGTCTGAGAAACTTCTCTTATACAGTCCTAGGACATGAGGGGGGTCCTAGCAGCAGGACCTGAGGGCTCTGATCTCTCATATAGGGTCTTCCTTTGTGGGCAGGTTATTTGTCTCAAAAACCCTACTAGGGCTTAATCAGCTCACTACCTGGAAGGCTTTCTGAGATTAGCTTCTGTCTCTTCCAAGGCAATTTACTTGATGTTAGGAAAAATGCTTACACCACACAGTAGCCATACTCTGTTGCCTCTTCCTAACAGTGTGACCTAAAACCCACTCACTATGAAGGAGCTCTGGAACAGAAAGGCACACCTACACTCTACCACACGCCAGTGGGGCCCCACTGGGCACAAAAAAATAACTGGACCTTTGTCGAAGGGCAGACTGTAAAAGTTGATAACATACATGCCAATTATTTAAGCCCTACAACCATACAATTAATGCGATCGCCCCTTGGGATATTAGTGCAGGCGTGCCCTGTGCTCCTCCCCTTATTTCACAGCGGGCTCAGTGGCCAGGCAGCTGACCTGACTGCCTGAGCGCTCAGTGGGCAGAACTCACTTGCTGAGCTGTGGCCCGGCAAGGGTCTTCAGGCACTACAATAGCTATGACCTCTTGAGCCTCAATCAAAATTCCACATCCCTATCCCTGCCACCAGGTCAGCCCTCTATGCCAATCAGATGCCTTTGCCTTGTGACTCTGCCTCACTTCTGGTGAGTTCTTTTTCTTGCTGTATTTGGTCTCTTGTTTTTAACTCTTCTAGTGGGGACGCTCCCAGTGGCCTGAGGCTGGCTCTGAAGAGCTCCTAGGACAGCCTTTTCTCCCAGCCCTCATGCTGCAGCCCCCTGTTGCTTGCACTGGATGATGACTCTGCAGCAGATGTTCTAGGAGTCCAGACTATCTCCTGCCTGCCTTTCCACAAGGCCACAACAGCGGACACTGTCTCTGTCTCTGACCTCCGCATCCTGAGTCCCAGTACAGGGGCTTAGAGACACTATGCTGGCTCCTGTTCAGTGGCCAAGTCACTAGCTCTGTATGACCCGTGAGACCCTCTTGCAGGCAGTGTTCCTTCCTCATACCCTCTGGCCCTAGCTTCAACATCAAGTGCAACTCCTTCCCCTGTCAGCAGTTTCTTGGTTTCAAATGCACTGAATATCCACACAGTGGCCCCTTGCTCCCCAGGTGGCATGGCCTCCAAGGCTCTGCCCTCAGACTGGGAGCTCCTATTGTATCCTAGAAACATGACTACCATTCCCCTGTTCTGGGAGCTTCCAGGGGCAAGTGGCCATCCGCGGCAGCCCAGCCAGCCCCTTCCTGGCTCAGGAAGGGTGTGATCCAGGACACCCACCTTGTCGATGAAGGCAGCAAACCTGCTGTTGAGGCACTTGATCTGCTCCTTCTCCTCGTGCTTGACGCACTGCGCGTTGGGGTCGATCTCCAGGTTGAGGGGCGTGAGGAGGCTCTCGTTGATGGACACGCTGGTGATGCAGGGCGGGCTGGGGCCGCACACGCCTCCGGAGCGGTAGCCAAAGCTGCGGCCAAAGGAGCCAGAGCGGAAGGCCCCGCAGACGCTGTGGCTTCCGAATCCTCCTGTGAGGCCGCGGTAGCAGGAGATGCCGCGGTAGGGGGCGGCAGTGATGCAGCAGCGGCCTGGCCGGGGCCCGCAGGCCGAGGCGCAGCTGAAGCTTCCAGGGCGAAATCCAGAGCCCACAGAACCAAAGCCACAGGTCATGATGGAGATATGGGGTGTCTGAGCAGTAGAGAAGCTGGTTGAGTATGGAGCCAAAGGACTGTGCTCCTGTCTTGTAGCAGGCCCTTTTATTTGCCAGGAGCAGCTGGCATTAAAAGGGGCAGCAAAGAGACAATAGCTGTGTTTTATTGGCTTGGCATCACCCGGCCTCTTACGCTCCAACCTGCTTGCCTCTTCAGTGTGGCTGTGTCAACAATCCCTGGCCACAGGCTGTGTTTCATCTTCAAAGCTCTTTACAAGCTTCCCCACTGCTCTGCCCCTCCCATTGGCTCTAAGTCGGAAGAAGAGGGGTCTCCTGGAAGCCCCATCAAACTCCAGGTGCCAAGGGGCTGCCTGCTGTCCCACCGAGGGGGATGCAGGAGTCCCAGAGTTCTAGGTTTTTCCACCTTCCCTTCCAAATCTAAAGCAGGGCCCTTTCTTCACTGTCAGGTTCAGCTTCTTCTAGCCTATTCCTGCGGAGCCTGGTCAGAGTTGGGAGCAGGAGTAGAGATTAAGGGAGTGGGCCATAGTCTCTGCATTTGAGTATTTTTGGTGCAAGGAATCCTCTGGGATAGAGGCATAACTGAGACAAAGTGTTGAGGACACAGCCTGGGCTGTTCCTCTTAGTTCTGGGCATCATTGCTGCTGGGATCTGCAGCAGCGCTGGGCATGGAGTAATGTTCCAGAGCTCCAGTGCTCTATCAGTGGTGATTAGGGGTTGAGGAGGATTAGATAGAGTGGTACATCACTGGAAGGAGAGGAAACAGGAGATTGGTTCTGGTTAGAGACATGGTCATTTCTTCTCAGGAAATACTGAGTGCCTGTCTCCCACTATGCACTAACTACACGCTAAGTTCTAGGAATCTAGCAGAGACCTGGGTTGTTTGAAGGTAGGAGAGGGTGGCACAACATTTGGTCAGTAGGGAGGGGAATATTGCAAGTGGAGTGAAGGTCACCACAATGCCAAGCCGAAGAATTGGGGTCTGGCAGAAATCCTTCAGGTTCTCAGCACGGAAGCTCAGCAGTAGGGTCCTGACATACATGCACCCCCTAAGAAGGAGGCAGGTGCTGTGTGTATGGGGTCATCAGGGTCCTACAATTGGACCTCTTCTTCCTCTGAGTGGGCTCCCAGGGCAACAGAAGGCTTGACACTCATGTGGCTGCCTTGAAAACTATCTTTAATTTAAGCCCTTATCCCTTAGGACTAGGTCAGGTGATAGTTTTGATGGATAGACAGCAGGACTGAGCCCTTTGGTTTCCTTTAACCCAAGGACCTTGCTCATAACCCCTCAACATGCATGTCTGGATAGCCTTTGAGAACAACTCCTTTGATGGAGAGATTTCCTGACCTAGCTATAGCCAAACACTGGCCTAGTTTGGGCTGAAAAGACCACCCTTATTGTCCTCTGAGGTCTTCTTCTTTTGCTCCTCAGATACTGGGGCTAGTTTTACCTCTGAGGGGAGGTTTAGGAACAGCAGAGGAGGGTGGCCATCTTTTGCGTTGCCCAAGGAAGGGCAGCGGATGGTGTTATTGGAATTGGTTAGGGAGCTGGACAAATTGCCCCGGATCTGAGGAAAAGACTCTCTGTGTCCACACATAGATTCCACAGTCAGCATCAGCAGTGGGAACTCTGGGGGTGTGGGCTGTGGGCTGTGGGCTTCTGATATGAGAAACACACTGAAGGGGCCTCAACCTTGGGATTGTGTATGGCTGGGTTCAGCTAACTGGCTGCCAGGCTCCTGGAGCACCTGTCGGGGACAATGGGCTGGCTGTGATTTCATGCTGAGCCTTTGCTGGGCCACCTCCACCAGGCCTCCAAGAAAGAGGCTTGTCCCTTTGTGTTGTAACCCAGGCTGGCCTCGATGAGCACTTGGTAGGTTCTCAGAACACTTCTAACAATTCAGGACACTTCTAACTGTTCTTTTTTGAAATGTGAAGGTATGAAGAAGCGAGTCTATGTGAGCGCTTTTCCTTCACCACCCTGTTAACCGCTCCACTCTTCTCTGACCCAGCTCATCTATCTCAACCCAGTGGGCTTGTTATCAGTGCAGACCTCTTCGTGGAGGAACTCTGTGTAGACAGACGCTTGTCCCTTCTTGGGCTGGGCAGCCAGGGACCTGCTCCTGTCTAGACTGGAGCTGATTAGCACAGATTCTAGTGATTAAAAAGGCATGGTTTGGATCCTAGCTTGACCACTTACTCTGATGTGGCACAGGCTGTCTCCCCAACTTCCTTTCTCATAAAATATGATTGACAGTTCATACTTTGCTGGCATTGGGAGGATTAAATGAATGCCGGGTGATGGGCAGGGCTGTTCTACCCCACTCCATGCCAACTGGTGACTGGGTCTTGGTTGCATGAAGCAAGCAGGGCCTTGGGAAGGGACATTGTTGTGGACCAATGAGATATCAGGTACTGCCCCTGTGTCAGCAGAAAACAACCGATGGCTTTACAAGGCAGTTGTGGCCACCTCAAAAAGCCTAAATTAGAGTCTCTATTTGTAAGTGGCCCAGAACAAAGGTGACTGTAGACCAGAAGCCCCTAGAAAACAAATGTAAGCAGGAAGCTGACACAGGGCCAGCAGCAGCCCAGCAGGCTGGTTCCCTCCACCCAGGGTATGGCTGTGATTGGACCCTTCCCTCACTGAGGGCCTATAAAGTCTCTGGTGTGTCTCTGTGTTTCAGGCACCATGGCCTGTGCTCTGTGCCTGGCAATTTGGTGGCTACCTGGGTCAGCCTGGGGACTCACTTGTCCTGCTGCCCAGAATGACTGCTTGTGCTGTGGGTCTGATCCTCTGATTCTTGCCTGTCTCTCTGGGCCTATAGCTATCACCTGTCTTTATACTTAACTGTACATAGTTCTGAGTTTGTTATTTTCTCTGGCCTTAATATTCATCAACCTTCAGATTTTAGTTTCTTTAAAAACTTTTTTAATCTTTTATTTATTTATTCATTCAGGGTCTCGCTGCTTAGCTTGGACTCATAGTGATCCTCCTGTCTTAGCCTCCCCAGTGCTGGGGTTACAGGCTTGCACCACCACACCTGGTTTTTGTGGCTGGCACAGTGTGCGGGGCAGGCACCGCATGTGGTACTGGAGATTGAACTCTGGTCCTTTCTCTTGTCAGGCAGGTCTTTAGTACACTGAGCTATCTCCCAGCCCCTCAGCTTTTTAAAAATCCTACTTCAGCCTCCTAGAACATACCACCATCAGGGGATTGCAAAAATGTTTCTTCCTCTTCTTCCTCTTCTTCCTCTTCTTCCTCTTCTTCCTCTTCTTCCTCTTCTTCCTCTTCTTCCTCTTCTTCCTCTTCTTCCTCTTTCTTCCTCTTCTTCCTCTTCTTCCTCTTCTTCTTTTTGGCAGAACTGCGGATTGAACTCAGGCCCTTGAGCTTGCCAGGGAAGCGCTTATTCTACTGAGCCATCTCCCTGGCCCTGTAAAATGCTTCTTAAGCAAACTTTTCTTTCTTTTTCTTTTTACTTCATTTTTTTAGACAAGTCTCAGTGTGTAGTCTAGGCTGAGTAGACTACTATGTAGCGCAGGCTAGCCTCAAAGTCATGGAGGTCTGCCTGACTCAGCCTCTGGAGTGCTGGGATTCTTTTCTATTTTAAAGAGGAAGAAACAAAACAGAAACAACAAGAACAAAGACAAAAACAAAGCAACATAAAAAATACAAGTGGTTCAGAATTTCAAAACAAGAATAGAAGCACCTCCCCCAACCCGCCCACTGAATAGGAATTTCTGCAGTGTTCTGGGAACCCCCAGACCCAGTCCTAGCCCAGGTCTGGTGAGTGTGTG